ATTTTATTATATATGGTAGCAGGATGTTGGAACTCATAGGATGACCCTTGTTGAGTTTGCCATTGATACATTAGCTAATCATGCACTTGATCATTTATTTGGAGAAAACCTCATTACCGTTGAATCCAAGGATGGGTTATTTGATTATCCATCAATTTCTTACATTAAGGGGCCTAATATTGAGGTATTTTGTACCTTAGATGAAATATTAGCTGTTGATATTATTGCATAAGTCAGCTTACAAATTTAAATATGCAAAGTCAATATCTATTAATCAATACTAGGGTATATTACTAACTAGTAATGTTGATTGTTATCGTGCAGTTTCCTATATAAAGAGATCAAAGTGAGGTAAATGACTCATAGATTCAGATTTTTTACCCGAATCTGATTAGTGAGTAGAGTGACATTGTCATTATTCGTGATCGTCATGTGGGTCAATCCATGCAAAAATGAGTCGATTATTTTAAGGTGTCGTATAATGCTACGTAAGTAATATTCATACAACTTCAATATACCAACTTTACCTGAATATGAGATCATGCCTAATTTGAGTATATCATTCTCATTATTTTGCAGTCGTTATTGATAGCTTATTGTGATTGATACTAATTCTTTTATGCCATACTTATTTAAATCCGCTCAACCAACGGTGAAGTTTAACCCTAATATTCATAATTTTATAAAGATATATTACATGTTATTATATTATATTATGTTTCTTCATAATTACTTTTATTTTTGTATTAACAACTTTTTCTCTGTTCAATTTAAGGGAATGTTTACAGTTGATAAGAAAGCAAAGATAATATATGTGTCATTACTGGTAAATGTGAAATTTATTTTTTTTATGCTGAGTTTGTTTAGATAAAAGTTTTCTAAACCCACTTTATTTTTCAGGTACCTTGTCAACTAAGATATACTGAATATGGATATTATGTCCTTCATTTTATGAGAGTGAGAGTTTTATATGATTTTATAATCACACCATTCAAGGTTAGTATTAATTTCATACAATATTAATATGTTCCAAAAAAAAGATAAATTATGTTATCATTTATTAACATGTACTTCTGATTTGTTTATAATGGGAGAGTAAAAGAAGCTTCACGAAATATGAAAGAGTAGTTTGATTATGTATTATCGTTCGTTACACCTTAAGGTTAAAGAATGTTGGTTGGGTGTAAATATTATTATTGGTATATATTTGTTTTATATCAATTGTCAGCTTATATGAATACACATATATTGAGTACAATTATTTGAAAAAAATATTTTTATATGGCAACATTATCAATTATAAATTTGAGGCGTGGCATAATATTAAAGTACTACAATGTTCATAATTTAAATTTTAAAGTGTAATTTGTAGTTTCACAAATATATGTATTTGTTTCATACAAGTATGAATTCGATGTAAATAAACCCATGTTTAACAACAAAGCAGTGATTTGCATATTTACAACCTTTCATTTTCTACCTTAATTAAATAAAAATATTTCTAAAATTATACAATGAATCTGTAAACAACATATAGTGTGATTTACATGTGTCTAGGAAGAGGAAAGTCAAATGATAGGTTATATGCATTACATTTGTTTAATTGTTTCCTAATGTAATTACTTCTAAATATTGTCGGCATCGTAAAGCAAAACTCAACTTTGTGATTTTCTTTCATCATATACTCACCAGTGGCAAGTATTTCATTAGGCGTGAATTGTTGAGTTGTATTTTGAAAAATGACTTTTTTTTATCTATATGCTCCACTTCTGTCTTAAAGTAAATTAAAATGTCCCTCATAACATTAACAGTCTAATTATATGGAGCATTAATATTGCCAATCTAATGCGTCAACCTAACGATTGCTCCATCATCACTTCTAGCACATTTTTTACTTGACAACATCATCCTAGCATTGCTCGGAGCAGCAGATATAATGTCGTCTTCATCGTCTCCTTTCTTCTCATTTTTTTCGACATTGATATAACTCAAAAGAGAAGTAAGCATCCTCATTAGTATTTAATGATTCAACTATATCAGCTACTATTTTAGCTCATTGATCGATTGCTTTATCAGATCCGAATATCACTTTAAAATCATCAAAAAATGAGAAAGATTTATTTCGTAACCCTTTAGCATGTGAGTGTGATTGGAAAACTTCAAACAAAGATGAATATAATAAAAACCATTAAAAAAAACATAAAAAAGATAGATAAACGATAATATCATTTAAAAAAACTTACCTGAACCCACTCATCAAATATTTCTTTCTCAGCTGTGATATATTTTTCTTGATCATGCCACCCAAATCTACTAGAATTTTTCATATCACAAATTGCATGATATTATCTTTTAAACAACTTAACTCTATATTTGATATGAAAAGTGGCTTTAAGTTGTGAAATAAGAATGACTTGCTCCAGTATTTGTTCAATATAACCTAGATATTTGACGTGAAATGTCCCATTATCCGCTCTCTATCTAGGATCATTGGCCAAAGAATATAGGTATTGAACTAAACATGAATCATCCTCTCTAGTCCATGAGTGTTTACCAAAGCCAAAACTATCTTATCATCTTCTAGATGTGCGTCGAATGAATTGCGATGGATTTTCACGCATTGAAGACATTTCAATTCCTAATCACATGGTTAGACATTTTGAAACAATATCAATATAGTAAATAAAAAACAATCAAGGGAATGAAATAAACGAATATGCATGAAAAGAAAGCAATGTGTTCTCTAAATTGTAATATTCATTGGACAATATCAACCATATGGTATATAAAATAAAAACCATTTGGGCAAACAAATAATAAAATACAAATAACATATCTAACATATCTATAATATTATTATCTCCCAGATTACAACCAATGGATGAACATATTATTAGCCAGATATCTCTAAATTGAGTCCAATAATTAGGTGGCTTAACATATGTAATCAAATGTTGATGATCAGATTCATTTGGTTGGAAAATATTTCTTTTGGCAACATCCCCTTCAATAGGATCAAAAACTTTTTTAGACTTAATAAAATTATAGAGAAGGTAACATGCAAAAATGATTATACATTATGTCTTAATTGAATAAAATGACTTCTATCTTAAAATTGCCCATCTAGTTTTCAATATACCAAAACATCTCTATATATAATTTCTTACTTGAGAGTGTTTCATGTTGGAAGTATTCAGTCTTACCCTCAAATCACTAAGATAGTATCATTGACCTCTATAAGGTGTCAAGAATCCTTCCCTATTTGTATATCTAGCATAACACAAATAGTAATTATTTGTTAGAACGATCAACAACATTACTAATATGGAAATAAGCAACATTGTTATTAACATTACACGAACATAATACAAATAAAGCCTTATGAGATTCTCAACCCATTCTTGCATGTAATGGCATCCTTTAATATTTTACCATCTACTGTAGAACTTTTCCATCCTGGTAAAACATATTTGATTACATATATAGGGTGCAAACACCAAGGACATTAGAAACAATTTCATTTTTTTCTTGTCCTGTATCTAGGCCGGTCAACTACGTCAATATTGACTTTAATGTATGTTCCATCTAAGGCACTCAAACAACTCTTGAACCATTTTCATCTATTTGTTGAATTTTTGGGTATGGGTTTGGGTTTTTTAAATAACAGCGTATGCAATTTTAATACAAAATTCAACACAAAACAAAATTGTCTACTAATTGTCTTTCTAGATCTGGCCACTTAACACTTCATAATCCTATTTTTTGTATGATGGACAATAATATGGAGGAAGCTAATTATTAGTTCTTCTATTGACATATGTCTAGATGACTGTAAACCTTATTTCTGTTTTAAGCAAATGACATAATTTAACAAAAGCTCTTCTATCCATTCTAATATTATCTACACACTGTATATCGCTCTCAAAGATCATTGCATTTAAGTTTAACTCTCTAATAAACAGGTTATCATAAGATGTACCATTATAAGATAGTTAACGTCATTTTCTTATGTTAATAGTTAATAAAGTTAAGGCATTTTTGATCAAAAGTGTCTTGAATAATCACATCATAAAAATTAAAAGGGATTATTGAATGTGTTTATGGTTAGAAATGCCTTTAATAACACCATTAAATTTCATCAGGAGATTATTCAAGGGGTTTTATGAGCAAAAATGCCTTAAAGAATTTTCAAATTTCAAAATTTTTTTAAGGATTATTCAAAGTTTTTTTGTCTAAAAAACATCTTGAATAATCATTTTATAAAAATTGAAGTAGATTATTGAAAGTATTTTTGACAAAAAACGCCTTTAATAGCATTTGTTAAACTTTTTGTTTTGAGGGTTATTTAAGGCGTTTATGAGTAAAAATGATTTGAATAATATATAAAAAAAGTAAAGGATTACTGAAGGTGTTTTTGACCAAAAATACTTTCAATAATTACTTATAAAAAATATAATAAAAGTTATTCAAAATATTATTCGCAAAAAAAGGCTAAAGGGATTGTTGAAGGTGTTTTTTTTATCAGAAACGCCTTGAATGATTTCATTCAATTTTTTGTAAGAAATTATTGAAGACGTTTTTCATATCAAACATCATTTATAAACTAAATTTTTTACAAACATAATCCTATAACTGATTTGAATTCATTTTCAAATATGATTTTTAAAATGATAACGATTATTTTATAATTTTTATATCAGATAAAATTTAAAAATAACATTATTTTTTTTCAAAATTTTAAAATATCACAATAAGATGTGTGTTTTTTATTTCAAAATTTTACATATTGTTAAAAATATGTCAAATTTTTTTAAAATTAAATTATTTAAAATTAAACATCGAAATTAAATATATAATAATAAAATTTCAAAAAAAAAAAAGCGTGAATTTCCTTGAACCAAACAATCTAGTACCGTTAGACCCCTCACTCTTGGGGTCCACAGTCAGACTATCCGCTGCCTCCGGTTTCACCGCTATAAGTGCCGAATGGGGACAGCGAGGCACTTGTTACTCTTTTGGTAAAAACCTCTAGAAAATCTAGGTACTTCCTTCATGGTTTCTTTTCGTTTTTATATTTCTTTCTTTTTCTTCATGTTGTTCTTTGCTTAATCTTCATTTTAACGAACCTGTTTGTGATCGGCCACTCGAGTTGTAATCGTACTCTTGGTCATTAAACTGTTTCTGTTTTCTTTTTCTATCTCTGTCTCTGTTTGTTTCCCGGGAAACCGTTTCGATTCCCCCTTTTTTTTTCACCTTTTATTTTGTTGTTCTTCCCATTCTTTTGCTTTTAAAGGTCTCTGTCACTGCGTGATCTACCGTCTACCATTATTTGGAGGTAATCTTTTTTTTTTTCACGTTAATTGTTTTCAATTTTTTCTTATATTTTCGAATGATTTCTGCTGGCTGTCAATGAACCGTTTTATGGCTCTTTATTTCTTAATTTTTTTGGGTTTAATTTTCCTTTCCTTCTTCGAGGAGTGCTATTTACATTGATTTTGCTTTTTTCTTTTTCTTTTGTTGTTTTTGTATAATTTTTACTCCATTTTCAACTTAATTTACTGTTATTTTTTATGTTTTATCAATTTTTTCCCAAAAAGTCAAGATTTTTTTTTAAAATTCTCCTTTCAAATTCCTCATTTTACTTCCTTCTCTATATTTGATTGATATTAAGTAATATAGACGTTTAAGGCTGTGTTTTTATTTTTATTTTTATTTTTTTCACTAAAATTTCGTTTAACGTGTTTACTGGCTGTAGAATTATGGAACACTTCCAAAACGACGATCTTGAATACGTTGTCGATGACTACCACGATGTCAATGATTTCGAACACGACGATCCTTTCGCCGAATCTGAGCCTCAGAGAGACACCGCTGATTTTGACTCCTTTGACTCCGACTTTGAAGACGATTTTGAATCAGTACTTTCTTTTTTTTTTTTTCTTAAAGAAACTTTCACGTTTATGCTTGATTATCAGAATTTAGATTCTAGAATGTGTAATTAACTTTTTTTCCCCCTTTTAATCTTTATGGTTATTTGGAAACAGAATAAGCCTAAAACTGATACATCAGCTGTGGAAGCAAGAAATGGAAAAGATATACAAGGAATTCCATGGGAGAGGCTTAATTTCACAAGAGATAGGTATCGTGAGACGAGATTGAGGCAGTACAAGAACTACGTGAACCTCTCTGGTTCTCGCGAAGAGATTGAAAAGGTCAGCTTCTGTATTTCCTGCTAAATCTGAAGCCTTTTTCATCACTTAATTCTACATTTGACATGGAACATGATCGAAGAAGCTGTTTATTTTAAACTAGCCTAAGTAATTGAATATTCTCATTGTGTTGACAGGAGTGCTTGCAAGTAGAGAAGGGAAAGGCCTTCTATGATTTTCAGTTTAACACAAGGCTTGTTAAATCGACAATTGTGCACTTTCAGGTAGAGAATTTGCTCATTACCTTCACCTTTTGCTATTTATCTAATTTTTTCTTGCAATTTCGTTCCCATGTTAAGACATCTCATTGCATTTCTTCATGTTGACGTTCCTACTCTTCATCTTTTATGAGTAGTCTGTTCAAGCAGAATTTGTTGACTTTTAAAATGTCATGGGTCCACATGTTCAATGTTTTGAACGCAAATCAATTTTAAATTCATTCTGCATTTAACTTTTTTCTCTTTTTTTTTTCTTCTTTTTCCTTTTTCATAGTGATTTAAATGTACCTGCAGTTTATTAGAGACGTGATATCTTGAGAGTTGTTAAATTTTTTATATTTAGAGCTGTTTGCTGTCATCAAGTTTTCATTATTGTTCTGCATCGTCATAACTTTGTTCTTGGTGAATCATTTAGTCATTGCAAATGATTTGAACTTTGAACTTCAATTATTTGCATATCACTAGTCTCATAGTTTTGCAGGTCCTGTTGTCCTATTATTACACTTTATCCATGTTATTTTATTTGATTATAGCTCTGTGCCTGAACCATTCATTATAAGGTATGGAGTTTACAGCTTCTCTGGGAGACCTTAGGCTTCATTAGTTTCTTTTTTCTCCCCCCTTTTGTTATAAATGTAAATTATATGGCTTTGTAGTTAACTTGGCAGCAGCTAGCTAATTTTAGAGGGATAAGTTCTTGAGATTTGATAGGCTCCAGTTTGACTTAAAAATTTTTTTGACAACTTTTTCTTGTTCTTCTATTAGTTTCAAATATTTTAATATACCCCATTTGAGGCATCAAGATGGGGTTTGTATTCACATGAATCCTTTTTGTGCAGATTTGTGAAGGATGCTTTACTTTACACTTGCACATGTTAACAGTTATACAAATTATAAAAATTTTAAAGCAATATTTGCAGAGATACCATCCTGATTACGGATATTGATGCTTCATGGATGTGGTATGACTAGGGGTTTTTGAAATTTTATTAACAAATTTTAGTTGTAGAACTTTACATTTGTGGTTCTTCACAAATATGCACAGATTCATCTACTATGAAGAGTTCAACCATACACTCTCACAGCCCACCCCTGCATATTCTTTCACATGTCACTGCTTCGGTATCCAGCAACTGTGAAGCTCATGATGTTGATGCGTTTTGAACTATTTCCTAGATGTAGTCTTTTGTGGCACTAACTGAGCCTTGAGTGTAGAGTTGCCATGTGTTTTACATTTAGCTGCACATCTGAACAAGGTGCTAAGACAGCTACATCATAATTGTTAAGAATCTAGGTGTTGATTTATCTGTTTCGTTATCCTTTAATTTAGAGTCATTGGCATTTCTTGGATTATGATTTTATCTTTTCATTTAGATATATGTTTATTTTTTTTTATTGTTCCTGTAATTTGTGGGTTAGGAGTATATTTTATTTTGCATGTTAACCATATGGATTTAACCTCTGGCTTTTAGGAATGCTATTTCTCTCTATTTCAGCCTTTAAAGCAGGTTGGGAGTAATTTCTGAGCAGCTGGCATGATAAAGATGCGTTGTTATATGGTATGATAGGAAGCATTAAGAGGCCTTTCTAGTGATTTCTGCAATTTGAGTAGAGCGATATGTCAAGCACTTGAAGGGCTATCACGCCATTGCATTTCATCATGCTGGATTGTTTTTAAATTATTAGATGCATTCATAGTTATCAAAACTGTTTTAGTTTGTTATTGCTTTTGATGGACCATCTGTATGCACAATTCAATTTGCATTACTTGATTTAATGTTCTGAGACACCATCTGCATGAGTAATCCAACTTGCATATTTTACTTGATTTACTGTCCCATGATATTCTTGGATGATCTCTTTCACTTGCATTCTGATGGTTCCCTTTTCTCAGATTTATATTTGCATTTTTTTAGCAATCAAGATATAGAAAAGTCTTACCGGTGTCAAAGCTTGAATTTCAGTTTTCTTGTTGTGAATGAGCTTTGTATTTTGTCTTTGCCGTTTGGCTTTTGAACCTCAGTTGGGGGCAAATGTGTTTATTGGATCTGTATTGATCTATGCATTGTTTCTTTTATTGTTGGTTTTATGCTTGCATATGTTTTTTTTCCCCTTTTCCTGGTTGAAATCTGGAGCTGTAGTTGCATTTAAATAATCTCATTTAGATTCTTTATTAAGTGCTTGGCAGTGTTGTTTTATATGAGCTGCAAAGGTCTGTCCTAGCTAGTTCACCATCTTTATTTGTGTGGTAATCTCTATGCATTATGCTTGATAGCAATTAGCCGGTATATAGATATAATTTCCGTTTCTTAATCATTTTTATTTTATGTGGCAAACTTTTCATGCATTAGCCACTATGTATGAAACTTTTCTTTTTCTTGTTTCGAAGCATAGGCATTTTGTACCGTTTGTTTTTGCATGATGCAAGTGAACTTTTGTTACATCATACTTGCATGTCATTTTGTTGAGCTATATTTTTAAGCTGCATAGGGTGAGTCCTGACTGTTTTACCATCCTTACCAGCTTCATAATGCATTACTTTCTTGATTTGCACAAGAAAGTCAATGGTGCTTTGTGCTTCTGTGCTCTACTCATTAATTTTATGTGATCTTGAGAGTTCAGGGTCTTCTACACTTGCACACTGACAGACATGCGTTTTGATTAAATTAAGATTTTTGTTTCAATGTACCTTCCAAGTGGTGGATGATGTAATATCTTTAGCTGCTTTCATGTATGGCAGCAAGCTGTTTATGGTCATGAATTTAATTGATTTTTCATTGTGCAGCTGAGAAATCTGTTGTGGGCTACATCAAAGCATGATGTGTACCTCATGCAAAATTACTCAGTAATGCATTGGTCATCACTGCTACGCAAAGGCAAAGAAGTGCTGAATGTGGCTAAGCCAATTGTTCCCTACCTGGTTAGTGAGAATAACCATGATTAAATTTGACTTCTGCTGTTGACTTTGTTCGGAGGGCTCTTGAGTACAATCATTTCTTTTGGTATGTTTGTAGAAACGTCCTGGATTGCTATCCCAGCAACTCTCTAGGGTGCAGATTAGCACTATGGCAGTTAAAGAAAATTTAATGGTGGCAGGTGGTTTTCAGGGGGAGCTTATTTGCAAGGTATGAGTTTGGTTTGAAAGAGGTTTATTGGTTTGATATTTTATTTTTAATTTGGCTCAAGTTGTTGAGTTTATTCTTTTGCTTGGTCAGTATTTAAATCAACCGTGGGCATCATTCTGTACAAAATTAACTGCTGATGACAATGCAATCACTAATGCGGTGGATGTTTACCATACTCCTAGGTGAGAAATACTGATTTTCTTAACTTTGATGACATTTTGAAAGGTAAGCACCTGAGATTCTATATATCTACAGTGGTGCAATGAGAGTTATGGCTGCAAATAATGATGCTCAAATCAGAGTTTTTGATGCTGAAACTTTTGCTAGCCTTAACCATTTCTCATTCGACTGGTCTGTAAATGTAAGTGCTAGTCTTCAGAAGCCTGCTTTAGATTTCTATTTCTCATCTATTTTTTTAATGTACTTATTTCCTGTATGGTGTTCTCTTTCCAGAATACCTCTGTAAGTCCAGATGGCAAGTTGCTTGCAGTTCTAGGAGATAGTGTGGAGTGCCTGATCGCTGATGCTCAGTCTGGCAAAGTATGTCACTCTTGCTGGGACTCCATATTTGGTGCTCTGTGAGGTTAAATTCTTTATGTCTAATTTATTTGTACAATGCAGGTCACTAGCTGCCTAAAAGGGCATTTGGACTATTCTTTTGCTTCGGCTTGGCACCCTAATGGGCACATTCTGGCTACTGGGAATCAGGATACTACTTGCAGATTGTGGGACATAAGAAACCTAACCAAGTCCCTTGCTATATTGAAGGGAAGAATGGGAGCAATTAGAGGTGTAAAGTTCACATCAGATGGTCGATTTCTGGCCATGGCCGAGCCTGCAGATTTTGTTCATGTCTTTGATACAGAGACTGCGTATGTTAGTTGCCAAGAAATTGATATTTTTGGTGAGATTGCTGGAATATCCTTTAGCCCAGATACAGAAGCTCTCTTTGTTGGGGTTGCTGATCGCACTTATGGAAGCTTGATAGAGTTCAATCGCAGGCGATATAACCAATATTTGGACTCCATCTGGTAGAATGCAAGTCGGCCAATATCTCTATCAGAGGCATATAGATTATTGTTAATATTTAGCACAGGATAGTTTCAAAATTGGCTGGATAATTGGTATATACCTTACCGGGCGAGAGGAGCATATTTAATTTTAAATTGGCGTGTGGTTTATGTGAAGGTGAATTTTTTAATAGCATAAATGAAATGAAAATTTTTGCTTTTTGTAAAGCTGGAGTCCATCTTATGTTTATATGTATATACATATACATATACATATATATATATATATATATATATGAAGTCACAGTTTAGTTTGGAGATAAGAGAAAAAATTTTAAGTAATGAAATGTAAATCATATAGTAGTTAAATGATATTTTGTATTTTTGCGCTTACCTGACCTTGCTTTGTATATATCAGAAAGTCGTATCTTCTAATTGTTTTCTCACATTTTACTGTTAATGATATTTGGAATATAGTTATAGCAGCATGTCTGTCTTTAAACTTAAATACACGGGCCTTATTGGCTAGTGCAGATGATGAACTTGGAACTGTTGGAGTGAAAGCGGTAGTTATAGGCTTATAGCGATGACGATATGAAAGAAGAGCACAAACCTTGGTACATCTAATGAAGTTTGCGATGCATCGATGTTTAATTGGGTAATTTTGCCTTGAGCTCAATGGGATTTAACTCTCTTTCTTTTTATGGGTCTTTCTCTTGGGCCGAAAAGAAATAATATTGTGGAGTTTGTTCAATTTCTATTCCCCCAGCCGACAAAGTAGGCAACTTTTCAAGTTAAAAAATTATTCCACAAAGGGGTTTTTTTTGTTTTTTGTTTCGTAACACGACGGCTATAAAACACTAGCGAAGGTTAGATACCTGTCGCGGTGCCGTGCTAAAACTGGGTTCCACTCTTTTGACCAAAATTAATGTTTTGCTGGCATCTCCATCACCTGTCATCTTAGACTGAAAAGCTGTCTTGTAAATGACGCATACTGCCATACACACTCTATCCGTGCGGTAATTCTAGATTGGCTTGATTCATTATTTAGATCTGCTTTTTATCTTCTTTCACAGATACACAAATGCAAAAAAATTATGTTTTTACACGATAAACATTGTTTAATTATCGATTGTAATTTTGTTTGTAAGTATAATTTTACAGAAATGGAGCCCAAATTCGTCGACGAAAAGTCATTGGATGTACATATTCTTAGTAGGATTGGAAATGACTTTTGAGAATGGAAATTTTTCTGTGATCTTACAACCTCAATTACATTGGTTACAACGCTCAATTGGACAAGCCAGCTCATCTACAATTGGTGGAGATATAGCTTTAATCACTGAAATTAAACACTACATTAAGAGCCAGCCTAAATGAAGCTCATCGGATGGAAAAGCTTATCCGAAACTATGGTTGTGAAAGTGAGAGCAAGTATTCAGTCTCCAATTTGGTTTAAAAACAAATTAGCCCCACTATCACGCGTAAGAGCGACTTGACAAGTGATAAGATCAAGATTAAATTTTAAGTCAAAAACATTATTTGATAGAATTAATGACTTTTCGACTCTACCATGCAACTTGCCTTTGAGCTACTAGGGTAGCTGATAAAAAAGGGTAAAGAAAAGTTTTTAATTCGTTCAACTTTTCCAATATTCTTGTGAAATGAAACTGATTAATCACATTGTCATGATCTATATTATCAGTTTTCTTATCAATTGCAGATCATAACTCAAAGTTTTTCAATAAATACATGCATGTAAGTATGTTATGGCACATCAGTGTACGGTAAAGAGAATATTATATAAATATAAAATTTGACACTCTAATAGAATTATTTAAAATTTTTTTTCATGACTTTTGGGGATTCTTTGAATAAATTAAATATTACATCCGATAATTTAAATTACCAAAGGATCAACTCATGGAGTCATTCCCGTTAACAACTTGATCATACTATAATTTAAAATTTCATCTTAATTTGCCAAACTGAAAAATTTTCAAGGTCAAAATTCAAATGCACGCAAGAAGAACTGCAATGGAATTAAGCTATATTTGAACAAGTTCGAGAATTTTTTTTTTTTTTTTTCAGGCTCCAGATTTTCAAACTTGGGCTGGATAGCACAACTCATAAATTTAACAGTCTAAGTTTGAACAAGCTCAAATTATTATTCGATCGATTTCTCGACATTGATGAATATAAACCAAAGTCTAAATTGGTTTCCGCTCAACTTCTTTTTCGTATTCAGGCCGCCACTAGCATACCCTTGATTTAATTAAATAAGACGAAAATGTGGCAGAGACAACTTGATGCTTCCAAGTTTCCAACATATTAAAGACCCATATATTTTATTTAATTTACCTTCTGAGCCAGTTTCAACCACGGTTTATTTCGTATTCAGAATTTATTCCCCACCAAAGATTTTGCCACAACAATAAGAAACAATTTTGGTTGGTGTATCAAGTTCAAGACCAAAGATTCTCCTTCAAATAAATGGCTGTTCGCACTGGGAAAATTAATAATCTTTGTCTTTCGTTAAAGCGTGGAAGAAAATATAAGGAAAATTGTAGTGATTTGGGGGTTGCCATGGTTTTTGGAAAATCGATCCACCAAATCAGTTGAAAATCTAGGCTATAGTGACATGAAATTCTAATGAAAATGAAAAGAATTTTAGCTGTCTTCCAGAAATTCATAGCAGGCTTTGTTGTCTTTCTTACATCAATTTTATGAGCACGAATAAAGGTTTTCATAAATGTTTTAATCAGTTTGAAGCTTGACCCTTGAATAAAAATCTTTTGTTAATTTACAGGGTCCAGCAGAAATATTTGCTCCCCTGATTCTGACCTAACTAATGTTATCACCTTTGATCAAGGTGCTGGGCTATTCTTTCTTTGTTAAGAAAATGAAATCGACATGATTGGGGAAAAAGAAGTATGTGGCTTGCAGATATACTAAAAAAGTTCTTAGATTCTTGCACGCATCTTCATTCTCTTCCAATTATTGTAATCATTTTCATGTGATAAAAAAGAGTACATTTCTTATTTTTTGGTGAAATGGCTGAGTTACATAGTCTTCAATTCCTTTTTCTCATTAATCATATGCATTTTAAAGCAACAAATATGCCTAAAAAATCTTACTGTATTACTCGGTTAAATGAAACGATGAGCGCATGCATGAACTCAAGCTTGAATCACTGGTTATAAACCCAAGTTCTTCAAATTAACTGACTGTTCTTTTTGACTAATTAAACAAATCCAAACTCAAAACATGTCGTATATCAAACAGCTCAAAAAGCCAGTTGTTGATTCACATCCAATCCCCCAAGTCCCAACTCCATATCATCCTCTGTCACCTCATCCCCACTGGCCACTTCTAATTAGCTGTAAAACTTTTAGAGCTGACTCCAAGTTCACGTTCAAAACTCCTGGCCCTTACCTTTATAATATTTCAGAATCACATTATTTGATGGGAAATCGATCTCCATTCGTTCATTCAACAAACCATTACCATTCCTCTAACTAAAGCATATCATTCATCACGGATCGAACCATACTCGGCAACAACTACCAGGTTACGTTGCCTGATTGACTGAAAAACGGCTTGGCTGCCTCATATTTAATTGAAACCGCGACTTGGCATTTCCTTTTCTTCATCTTTACGCTTAATTTTTTTTATGTGCACTTCCAATTTTTTCTCTTCCTATTTCGTTTCCTCCTCATCATATTTAGATATATTGACTATGTATCTACTTAATTTCTTCTTACACATGATGACTACTTTTTTTTTTTTACTACATTATAAAAAGTGGGATATGACACTTTGAAGCCCAATATTTGGCGATATTAGAGTCGGATTCTCTACTTTTTAATCTTTATCTTTAAATTCTTTATCATCACGGCTTGACAAAAATATATGCATGCGTATCAAATTGATTTCTACACTTTGCTAAGCGATGGGTAGTCACAAATTGGAAGATATCTTCACACTCCACAATTTGGACATACAAAACTTAACAAATTTATCAATCAAAGCATAGACAAGAATAGTGGCCAAAAAAACATAGACAATATTTGAAGGATAAGTTTTTATTGAAATAGTGATTTTTTTTTATAAAGAGGGTTATGGTCAGGAGATAAAAAATATTATAGATATTAAAATTTAAAATTTAAATTTATTAAATATTACTTCTTAAAAATAATTGTATAAATTAACTGACTACAAATCTAAATTAAGATAGTAATGTATTCAACTTTCACCCTAAATAAAGTTAGATTTGTATTATGCAAGAATAAAATTTTCAAAAAAATAAAAAATAAAATGATATATAGCAAAAACATCAACACAATAAGTATTTAAATATGTAAACCTATGATGGGGTTTTTTTTATCAAAAAGTTTTGAGAAATTGTTAAGATGCTAGAAGTGAGCGCATTTATAATTGATGAGAGAAAGCTGTACAATTTTATTACTTATAAACAAATAAATTGTTCTAAAAGAAAACATCCGAATACAATCTCTTCGTCTAGCTAGGCATATAATTTTATAAAAATATTTTATTATAATTCAAAAATTAATTATTCGTGACATTTATTATGTCACAACAATTGTTTGTTCGGAGAATTCGATCGTTAAACTTGATAAAAATTTTTAGAGTTATCAATTTTTTTATAAGGTGTAATTGATTACTCAAAAATATTATTTTTTAATAAAAATCTTAAAATTAATTAAATTTATTAAAAGAAGTTTAGATTTGTCAAATCAAGATTGGATCAAGAAGTACGATTACAAGTAAAGAAGGTATTAGTACCTTCATGTCACCTATTCGAAGAATGGTACAAATTAAATATGTGTAATCTTTTAATTTTAACAATGTAATCTTTTTTATATTTAAATTTAATTTCTTTAAATTTATTTATGAAAAATATTTTTTGTCATGAAATCAGTATTATTATTACTTCAAATTCTATAAATTCTTCAATACTTTGGTGTAATTTAAGAAAATTTTATTTAGAAAATATTTAGAGAAAATTGACTATTCATAAAATTCTTGAAATTTTGTCATAGAATATTTTATTTATTAAAAATGATTTTAGGGACATCATGACTCTTTGGTGAGATCTCAAACTTTATTAAACAAATTTTAGAATTATCCTGACTCTTTGGCATAATTTTAAAAATTTTAAACAAATTTTAAGATATCTTAACTTTTTAACGAGATCCTAAATAAAATTATTTTTTATTGATGATAATTAAGAGATTTAATTAAATATTTAATTAATTTTTATTGTGATTATTATTTATTATTATTTTTATCCTTTTTTATTATTTAAATGAATAATTTATTTAGTAAAAAATAGATTTTTTTTTGCATTGGATTTTTTCGACATTTTAGTAAAATCCAAAAAATAC